ATGGTCATTTATGTGCCACTGTAGAAGCCCAGAGGTCATAAACCTGCGATTTGGGCCAACTTAAGCCATCATATATCACCCATCTGCCCCACCCCCAACCTCCACCAATGATTACCCGTGGTGGAGCACAAAAACACAATCCTGGACTGACTACCATTACAATAAAAAGTTTCAATAACAAGTGAAGTTGCAGCATCATCAGAATGTCACTAGCAAAAGTAGTGACATGGTTAGAAGTGAAAACATTTTTGTCTATACATTATTTTTAGTAATGTTAAGAAAAAAATTTAATCGAAGTAAAGTAAAGGGAGATTTACTTTAATAGGAGCAAAATATGATTTTTTTTTTCAAAATATGACCAATTAGTTTAACTTTTTATGTGTGATTGGACCAAATTACCTCCACTGCTGCCCCTGGCATGCTGCCTGCTGCCTGCTGCCTGCTGCCGGCGACGGCGGAGTTCACCACTGCCCCCGCTACCAACGGACTGCCTTGGTTGTGCAAGAGAACTAGGGTAGCAATTAATTGGGTTAATTAATTGCCGGAGTTGGCCGCCGCCACCGGAATCCGCCGCCGACCGGCTGCCGGAGTGCTGCCGCCGCCACGGATTGCCCCGCCACCGACGGACTGCCTTGGTTGTGCAAGGAAACTAGGGGGCAATTATTTAGATCAATTAATTAATTAAATAGAATTGGGGGTAGAAAAAGGTAAGGTTAGTCCTATTTAGGGAAAACCAAACATTAAGTCCTATTTTGAAAAAAAGTCTATGTTTTTGTTTTGGCCATGGCTATTTTCTCTAACTAAACATTCACCTCTTCAATGACTTGATCTTAAAACTTTCTCCATAGAAGGAATTCTCACTTAAATCAAGTATAACTCTACTCAAGGCCGGCATATGAGTAGAATATGCAACAATGGTATCAACAATTATTTAGATCAATTAATTAATTAAATAGAATTAGGGGTAAAAAAAAGGTAAGGTTAGTCCTATTTAGGGAAAACCAAACATTAAGTCCTATTTTGAAAAAAAAGTCTATGTTTTTGTTTCGGCCATGGCTATTTTCTCTAACTAAACATTCACCTCTTCAATGACTTGTCTTAAAACTTTCTCCATAGAAGGAATTCTCACTTAAATCAAGTATAACTCTACTCAAGGCCGGCATATGAGTAGAATATGCAACAATGGTATTAACGTTTTTGGGAGAGGTCACACCCATATAAACTTCTTTATAATACATCTTCTTAGCTCTACTTAGAGCAACTCCAATGCTAGGAGTGAATCACTGCTGATGTGGTAATAAAATTGAAAAGGTCTATTTAACACGTGGGCCAATTATTTAACAAACGAGAGGGTCTATACAAATGCGTCTCCAATGCAAACAAATAAAGCTCCTCCACCTCCGTAAAAGGAAAACTAAAATAAGAATGAGAGTCAACCAACAGGGTGAAACCGAGGGTATGTATATAGACCTCGTGCAAGACTTCTGCCCATTTTCTCATTGCCAAGTCAGCATGATTAGGCCCATATTTTTTTGCATTGGAAACTAGATTTTTAAATAGAGGGTCCATTGAATTATGTGGAATGCATTCCAAGAGCAATCCATCTTTGGAGGTGCTCTTATGATTCATATTTACAAAAATTACACACACATAAGAACTACCTAAAGATGTTCAAAACTTTTATTATGAAACTTTTATCCTCTGAGCGATTGTCAATCGGTATTCCATTATTCAAAATATAAGTATTGTTAGATTTTGTGAATACCAAAATGGGTGATGAAATTTGAATTTTATTTTAACATTCAATTGAGAGTACAAATAATACTTCATCCTTCACATTGGGATGTTGCCAATTTCCCGTTTTTATTTATCACAAAAGTATTGTCGCTTTCCTTTTATAGTAGATAATTTGTGATTCGACTTTTTTCCTCTTCTTTACATAACTCTCAACCTCGCAATTTTCATTTTGCTCATTTGGTACTGAAGCAAATTTGGTAATGTCCAATAATGGCAGGGAGGTAATATCTGTTTTACTTTTACGACGCCTACACGAGCAGCTCAGTTGATTGAGTGGTGAGAAATTTGGAATAATTATCAAAGTTCGAAATCCGCAGTGGTCATGTGGAGGTTACAGCTAGACTGGACTTATGATGCACACGAGTTTAAGACATATCATTATTGGACCGATTGAGTCATCATGACTTACCCCCATCATTCTATGAGATCAGAGTGTAGGGAATGCTAAGGTGGGAGATTCCATCTTTTGGAACAATGCTTTACTTTTAAGGGAGTATAGTATTGCAGCCGTACTCTGTTGCAACACGTGATTGTGAGTGAGATTATGATGACCCCACGACCAGAAACAGAATAATAAAAAGGCTCCCTGTGGAATGGCATGTGTCTAACAGATTTGAGAACGTCTTTCTTCAATCACCAATTTATGCTCCAAACGTTAAATTTAGCCGTTTTAGTATGCCAACTTGCCCCTTTCTTCTGGAATGAAATGAAATTGCACGCCCCACCAGAGGGAACAAGCTTTAATTTGAGGCCCCCCGACAACTCGAGTTCTCTTACCACCCTTTAATTTTTGTCAATTAAATACGCCTATTGACCAAAAGTATTAGTTACTTTTCATCAATTAAATACGCCTAAGCTACACCAAAGGGAAGAATCATTAGTTACAACATTTTTATGTGGCATGATGAAAAGTACAGTAGAAGACTTTTTCATTAACAATAAGCATGACTCACTTATGATCTATCAAAGAATGTATACAAAGAGTATATTCATTTAGACTTGTTCAAAAGACACAATAAAAGGTACAAAGAAAAGAAAAATGTGGGAATTGCATTTTTTTCTGTTCGTCAAATTCCTAGTATTCACTAAATCTTTCTCAACCCATTCCCCTATCCAAATTTATTATCTCAATAAACTTTTTAAGAATGTTTAAGGATGCATTTGTATATTTTATTCCTTTTACTTATCTCTATAGTAATCAAATCAGATCAACCTATAACTATTGCAAGAGTTAATTTGAGTTTGCACCCCATTTTATTGTCCAAATTAGACTTTGCACTCTGTTTTTTTAAAAAATTGTTTTTGCACCCTAGCCCCATATGAAAAGACAAAAATACCTTCAATCAGGAATATGTTGTAGGCCAACAAAATTGTTAATGGAGAGACATTTTTGTCTTTTCATATGAGGTTGGGGTGCAAGGACAAAATTTTTTAAAAACGGGGTGCAAAGTCCTATTTGTAATTTGCAACCAGGCCAAAGGATTTACAGTCATACAACCAAATCGGGTGTATGCATAAACATTCATATCAGACTCGCAAGATTCAGATTAGCAACATAGGCAGATTACTTTAATATCTTTCATATTATATCATAATTATTAGTTTAATCTTACATTTTGAAGAAAAAAAGTTGCTCTTCGAGTTTTGATCATTGTCACTGTTGTTTATCCCTCTACCAATATTTATTGTGTAAAGTAGCGAAGTTTATCCTATGCCGCACATGAGAGATAGTGATATGATATAAATAAAGAGTGTGCAATGAAAAAAAGATAAAGAAGAAAAAGTTGAGACATAGAAATAAACTGTAGATATTATTTATGACAATGTCGATACATGGACTTTACATGAGATTCGAGGAGCTAGATTGACAAAATGGATTAAAGTGATGTAAAAATTAAAATTAAAATAAATATAAAGACATGTAGGTTCTATATATAAATTGTGGGATCAAAATGAGACCAATATGTAAGAGTGAGAAAGAGGACTAAACATCCTCATCCCATTGGAGATGCTCTAAATTGCTGCCAAGTTCAAAAGGAAGTCAAAAGGGGTTTGCCCCCTTGCACTTGTAAATTGATCAATTTGGAGTTTTAATAAATTTACATTTTACGCAAGTCAATGGAGATTGACAATTGACACTTGACACTATTGAGTTCAAGTATTATAATAAAGTGATGATATTGATATTATGGTATACAAATGAGTGTGAATATGAGAATGGGTAGAATGAGTATTATGAATTATGATATTCATGTGAAAATAAACTGCGCAGTTATTTTCAAAAATTCATTTGACTGCCTTCCCGATTGAATTTTTATCTGAAATTTGATATGAGTAAACTAAACTTAATGAAGAAGATGCTAAAAAATATTCATCAAAAAATTCCACCGGGAATCTCCCCAGATGACGACGGCCGTACAGAGCCTCCTATATAAGGGGTGATTTGCACTTTTTTGATTAGTTCAATGGCTTATTTGCTCCTTTTCCCTTGGAAAATGGAAAATTTTGTTTTTACACCCACCCTTTGATGTACACCTTTTGAACCCTTATGCATGTGTTGTCTAAAAATGCACAAAAACAGGGGTGTACAAAAGATTTACACCAAGCACAACTCTTACAAAATTTACCAGCTACCAGTCAGATTGTCCAAACAAACTTCGTATTTTCAGAAAGGGAGCAATAAAATCCAACCGGTTCATCATTTTTTCTCAAATTTTGTATTCATGCAATATACGTTATTTTCTTTTTGGTATGATGAACATACGTTTTGAGAAGAATGCCAGATGCATATTTGCATTCTGAAATTTCAGTCACCTTTTTGTAACTTTTTTAAGACAGCAGTTAATGCTAAGAAAAACTTACCATTTGTTTGGGTATCAATGGCTATCTAAAAGTTAAACTTGAGTATTTTAAATATAAAAGGACCCAAAAAGATATACAAGAATAGTCATGTTAGTCATGTATATACAGTGTTGTTGAAGATTCGTAGGGAGGATAACATTACTTGGGAGGGGGTATACCAAGCAAAATGGGAAAAATACTGCCGGACTGCCGGTGCCTAAAACAAAAAAAATACATCATATTTGCATGCGCCAAACATTTTAAAACCATAATTAGTGAATTAAAAAATTGTCAAATCCATAAATGTGTATTTCATCTCATCATTCTATTATCACATCTTATCACCCTCCAAAGTCCAAACTCGCAATTATAATAAGTGGGTTTGAGTAATTGAGTTGGATATTATGAATATTTTAGGATCCACAGTATGTATGGAACACCCTAAAGTACGGAGTATCTTATATTAGGATCTGAGAGTTCAAAAAACGCATAAGTGATGGCATTCAGCTATTCCTGTATGGGAGCAATACCCTAAACAAACAAGAGTAACATTAGCTAACAGTCCGAACTCCCAACACCAAATACGATAGTATTAACTTTGGAGGGACTAGGGAGTTTAACGGATCTTTACTGGACAGAATTGGACATCCCACTACCTATTGGTAAGAATTAACTGACCGCAAATTTCATGAACTTAAAAAAAATGCATACATCTTTTCTATTGGCATGAAACTCTGCTTCCCCCACCTTCTTAGCGGCCGTGTCAAAATACAACAGTCTTGTTTCTTTCGTATGGTAAAACACGCAATTCACAGTATGACTTTATTGCTTTAGCAAGGCATCGTTTCTCAAGTTCCTCAGATTTCTGTACGAAACTCCGCAAACTGTCTCTGTGGGACACTCTATCAACCTGGAAAAGTGTGCAACAGATAACACTGTTTTTGGCTCAAAACTACCAAACTTTATTAAATTTATTTAAGAGTACAAGCTAATGAAGTAAAAATTGAGAAAAATAGTAAAGCTAATGAACGAAAAGCGCTAATGAAAGAAATGCGCTAATGAAAGAAATAAATGAACAAAATGCCTCCTGTGCCAAGTGATGAAAACCCAAACAAAAGGTATGTCTTCTCCAGTTCTCCCATCTCAACAAGTGTGGAGAGAACACATCTTAGCTTTAAGGGGGGATAATATCCTACCAAATTTACACAATACTTTCCGTCCCTCTTGAAATACTTATTACTGTCCTCTACGGCTCTACTCTGTCCCATACATGCTATCAGCTAAGAATGGTGGAGATGGCGAATAGGAGATATCATTTGATGCATTCGATGTTTTCTCGTTCCCAAGAAATAATACAACTCTCAACCCACAAGAAATGAACTCCTAGGTTTTCACAAAAACAAGTACTTTCATTGGGTTTTCCTCTTTTTAATTTCCATAGAAAGTTAAAACTATCCATGTAAACCAGATGGGAAGAATTGTGATAGTCCCTCCATACAAAAAAAATCTTCCTTGTTTGACATGACACTTATTAAGAAAGTATTATTATACGTTTTTGGTTTAAGTACAAAGAAGAGAAACAATATCAGCTACACTAACCATTTAAATTACCTTGTAAATAGGAAGAAATTTTTGGGGAGTCCCGAAAAGGAATATCAGTATGCTATGATTTCTTTTGTTCTTGACTTAATATGAAGCCATCAAATAAATGATTGATTAAGGAGAACAGCAACTGAGTTATTATTAATTAGAAACAGGCTAACAGCTAAACCATGTACCATGCTACATGCCTACATGTGATATAGATCGATTCAAATCCATTCATCATAGAATCTAAACACTGAACACAACAAAATAACACGGCCCAAGTAGTTAGATATGACATGGTTTGCCTATAAGCAATCAAAGCACAATTTAATGCCACAAGAATATATAGAAAAGTTTCTATAAAAGGAATTTACCATCTGTTCAATGATGGGCCCATCATCAAGTCCCTCGGAGACAAAGTGAGTTGTTGCCCCTATTAGCTTTACGCCAGCTTCAAAGGCCTATTAAGTATTAACATTGTACGGAAGTTGAGTAACATGAATTTCTGAATATAAATACCCCCCCCCCCCCAAATTAAAAAAAAAAAAGGCAAACCTGCCTAGATGGCCTACCCCCCTTAAATGAAGGAAGGAGACCATGGTGTATGTTTATAATGTCTTTCCCATATTCTCTCAAAAAGTCTCTTGATAGTATCTGTACAAAATAAGGGACACATCACAGTGATTACAATAATGATAATCACCAAGAAACAAAGAATGACAAATCTTGAAATTTGAACTACAAACTTGTTTTTCAATAAAGCTTAAAATCACAGGCAAAAAGTATTAGTGTATTTTTACCAGCAGAGAACACTGAAGTTGAAGAATAATAAAAAGAAAATCAAACACTCTTTACCCAAGATAGGCTAAAAACTTTATTACCTCACCTGCATATATCTTGCAAGGACTAGAAAGTCTGTGTCTTGAACTAATTCCAAAATTTCTCTTTCTCTTTTATTCTCCTTAGTAGTCTCCAAATAATGATATGGAATTCCATGCCTTTCAAGAAATCGAATCACATGGGTGTTTGGACTTCTATCATGATTACTGTAGAGAAGATGATCAATCAATCTGAACATATTCTTTTTTTCATGCTAGAGATGAAAAATTACTGAACTTTACCTAATTACAGAAGTTATCTGAACAGGAAGTCTTCCATCCTGCCACCCATGCAATAAATCTACAAGACAGTGGTCCTGCACTAACAAAGTCACATCAATGATAGCATATTCAGGCAAAATTTGCCACTTTTGGTCCCAGGACTATTTGGTAGTTCCCACTCTTCATCACTAGAGCTTTCATTTTTCCACTTCACTACAGATTTCATGTCACCTTTAGTTCTAACATGCTCGGCGAAAACCTGGAAAATAACTTACGCAAATTGGCCAGAAAAGTGGTTGGATGACCCAAACGTGACAAGGAATCAAGAATTGTAGACCACAAGTGGGAAATGAAAGGTTGGGGATGAGAATTTGAATGATTCAATAGCCACAGGACGTAAAGCATCAAAATTTCCAAATTCAAAATAGTGCTAATAAGTTGACAAGGGAAATTGTTTCATCTTAAGAGCCACGACCTGCTTTGATGCAAGAACGGCAATCTTATAATTTGGATCCAAAGAAGGCACTCGAACAGTAGATGTTGTTGCATTGAACATTCTTGAAAGCTTTAGGAAGTCCTCATTCATTTTTACACGTGGCCACTTAGCAGGATTAAACACAAATTCACTGTAATTTAAAACAATAGTAAACCATATTAAGAAGGGAAATTTAAAAAAAATAGGAGTAAAAATAATGTGGAATTTCAAAATAGGAGTACTTTGTTTTCCCCTATATATGAGTTAATTACTGCCATCTTGAAATCATGCTGCCATATTTTGGCATTACCGGGCTTTGATACTGTGTGGAAAGAAAATCATGACACTCATATTTTGAAACTTAACATCATTATACTCCTACTTAGGGAAACTTCTGTATTAAAAAAGATAACATGTACGTTGTTACTTTTCCATCATTTGCAATGGAGCCAAAGATTCATTATTTTTTGGCTTGAGAATATGATGGAATAAAACAAAATGACTTGCTTCTTTGTTATGAAGCAACAGTTAGTCCATGTAATTTTGGACGCGATTTTCACTATGGGTCATCCGGAAACAGTCTCTCTGTGCTTTAGTACAGGGGTAAGACTGCGTACATCCGACCCCCCCTTACCCCACCGTAGGTGGGAGCCTTTGCGGCACTGCGGTAAATGAAAATGATGAACATGTACGTTGTTACTCAAAGTGGGTGGGACATAATAAGTCTGATGTGTACCAAGTAAAGTTTTGAACTAACTACTTGGTTGTTGAAAAAAGAAGTGTACAAATAAAAATAAAAATTCAAAACCTATTTATGTATAAGAATAAACAGTGTTCAGGAAACTTTTGATTTAGTACAACTTATTAAGTGAAACTACTGCTTAATGATTCACAGCCCCCACCACTTCTGTGGAATTAGCAGAACAAATTTTTTCCAAGCATAGCACAATTTCTTCTTCATTCTTCCCATTGGATTCACATCAAGCAAGAAACTGTGATTCGATTTAAGCGACCTGTAATGGGAAGGGTGCAGAAGAAATTGGAGCTACTAAGTGAAGCTACTGCATCCAGCTCCCTCCCCCATTCCACACCTTCTCTGTGAACGAATTCTCAGAGCAAAAGTGTCCCAGGATTCCAAGAAAGCATCACTTCCTCTTAAATCTTCTCATTTGTTTCCCAATAAAGAATCATACCTTATTTATCATTCGACCATTAACTATTAAGAATTCTTGAAACGTGTGGATAACTACTTTATAATTATAAAAACTATATAATCCAGAGCTTGTATTTATGGAAGAAAACACTCAACCACATCACTTACTCACAAGGTAATGAGACACCACCCAAAAATACAAGGGTGAGTATACATGTTATATTGTGGCAACTTCTCTACTATGTCTCCCCAATTTGAAGATGCCCTGGTTTAAACATTCAGATTTGTGTCAAAATAGCTCAATGAAAATAATGTTTCTCTCCTATATAACAGTAAAAGTTTTTATTGGAGAACTCCTTGTTCATACTTCCTAAATATTCATTGCTACAGCCTCAACCACAATGATAGAAATATAATACTAAATGCTATAAAAAACAGCATTTTGCAAAATCATACAACCAAATACATCTGCGATAAATTAAAAAAATCGCACAATCCACCAGGAAAAGGCACATAACAAACTAATCAAAAAAAAAAAAAAAAATAACCAGGCATCAGAATGGGGCATAGAATCCAAAACATATAGAGAATAAAGTAGACCTTCTTGAGTAAAAAACATGCTTATCTTCCGGCACGAAGACATCAGCATTAAGAATGTTCCCACCTTTCGAGGCTATGCAATCCGAAAGCTTTGCAACGATTCCCACTTCATCCTGATCCACAGAACATAATTCATTATATGTATGTCAGGTCCATTAAGATTGAATATAATTAGGGAAAAAGGCTTACTGGGCAGTGGAATACATGAATTCCATGGATGAGGGAAGGTGATACGGAACAGTCGAGGGACTCTCCGGAAAAATTCAAAGTTCCGAAGGATCGATATCTTAACCCATAAACTTTGAGAAGTTGACCGGAGGAAACTGCTCGGCGGAGGCTCATTGCTCATTTCAACGCATCCTCCCCTGTGGGCCTGTGGCAACAAGCATGTGTGTTTCAACTTTCAGGCTTTAGATACAAGAATTAAGCCTGAGGTACACACTTTCATACACGCTAATACATACTATCGTACTATACACGCTAATACACTTTCATATAGACATAATGTATTTGAAAATATGTTATGTCTATATACAGACAACAAAAAACCCTACACAAACATCAGTGTGTACTAGACTAGCGTATATGAAAAATATGTAACAATAGAATTTTTGTTAGCTACAACTACCAACGGGGTGTTTGGGAAATGGGAATTCTCCCTAATCATTTAAAATCTGTAATTGGGATTCCTAAATTTCATATAGGAGTGAGTATGATTTATTGATTTTGCTCCTGATTTTCTTGTAAGTATCTGGCTAATGATTTAATTAATTAATACAAGTTGATATAGTTAACGATAAAAAAAGTTTTTACCCGAACACAAAATGTAAAAGGTCGGATTACATTATTATCAATCGTTGTTTCGATAAACATGTAGGGGTGTATAAAAACTTTTATAAAAATGATATGTATAAAAGGAGTTTTTCATATTAGTCCTAGACTCAGGCCGGGTGGCCAGACCCGGAACCGGCCCGTGACCGGTACTGTGCTGAACCGGCCCGGCCCGGTGGCCCGACTAGTGACCAGTCCGGGTAGGCCCGGCCCGGGGGTTCCCGGTGCAGGCTCGGGTCACCCAAAAGCCGAATCGGCCGTGCCGGTTCGGCCCCGGTTCCGGGCTATTTATTTTTTTTCAATTTTTTTAACTTTTCGGGTTGCGCTGAGTATTTTGGGCCATTTGGGGTGGTTTGGGGGGTGGGGTGACAGGGGGGTTAATTAGGAAAAGGAAAAAAAATGACCCGAGGCCCGGCCCGGACCGGACCCAGTGGCTACCCGGGCCGGTCCCGGGCCCACCTATTCAGAACCGGCGGCCCACCCGGGCATAGGCCCGGCCCGGCCCGAGTCCAGGACTATTTCATATCATACATGGATTATGAACAATGGGTTTGTGATAGATTCTTTTTAAATCATAGATTAAATTAAAGCTCATAGATTTTAAAAAGTTTATATGAGTAATATTTGTTAGTTTATGGGAATTAGAAGTTTAAACCGGAATCATTTAAACTGTTATTCATAGTTTGTGAATTTCATATATCAATGAAAGGCTACTTATGCAGTTCTTATTTTAGTTGGTAAAAGTCGAGTGGTAATTTTCCTTGATGGCAATAAATGCAAGATAAAAAAATGAGCTTA